ATTAAGACAGACTAGGAAGAAGGATTGGCCACCCACTTCTGAAATAGCAGGCCTCTGAAAACCCTATGCACAACAGAACACACGCAGATTACTTGTCTATCCTAAATAAAACATTTACTAGAAAGGCCAAGTAACTTGCCGAATTTCCAGATAGTTTAGTGAAGGGACATAGAGCCTAGTGCTCATAGCGATTAAGCTCTTGACAACTAACCCAAAGGTTGATGGTTCCACGCTGCTCCGTGGGAGAAGAGACCTTGTAGTCTGCTCTTAAAAATAGAACAGCCTAACAGCGCAACAATGAATGAATGAAAACCCAAAATCTCTGTAAATGTTCATTAAAACTAATAAAATTTAATAATAATTTAAAAAAATCAATAGAACAGCCTAGGGAACCAGGGAGTACTTCTGCCCTCTCATTTGGGGTCACTTTGAGTCAGAATTGATTTGACAGCACGTAACAATATGTTAATTTATATTATTATAGAAGGGTGATTCTCAAGTGGGACTAGGCTGGCTAGTGCTCAGCTTTGTTCCCCAGGGGACATTTGTCATTGTCTAGAGGCTTGCATCTCAATAACAAGAAAACTGAGATTCTCACCACTGGGAAAATAGGCAGCATCATAGATGCTGATAGATGGAGAAAAGATTGAGGTTGTTAACAATTTCATCTTGCTTGGATCCACTATCAACACCCTTGGCTTGAGCAGTCAGGAAATCAGAAGATGAGTTCCAGTGGGAAAATTAATCTCAAGAACCTCTTCAGATTGCTAAAGAGCAATGATGTCACTCTAGCAACTAAGGTACCCGTGATCAAGGCCCTGGTTTTCTCAGTTGCTTACTATGCATCTAAGAGCTGAACAGTGACTAAAGATGATAGAGGAAGAATTGATGCCTTTGAGTTGTGATGCTGGAGAAGAGTATTAAACATACCATGAACCGCCAAGAGAACAAGCATGTCTATCCTGAAAAAGGGAAACTATGTTGTTCCTTGGAGACAAGGATTTTGAAACTCCCTTGCCCGTTTGTGTCAGCATTGGGCATGTTGCCAGAAGGGACTGTCCTTGGAGAAAGACATCATGCTTGGAAGGATAGAGGACCAGCACTGGAGAGGAAGACCTTGGATGAGATGGGTTGGCACAGTCACTGTAGAAATGGGGGCAGATGTGTCAAAGACCCTGATGCAGTTGGCTCCAGACAGCACAAGGTTAGATCTGTGGTTCTTCAGGTTCCTGAGAATCATAGTTGACTTGATGGCTCGTAAGAACAGAGACTTTTTTGGTGATCCTAACTGGGGGCACATCATAGCCAATGTCAAACGGATCTTGGCTAAAAGCAAAGAGTATCAGGGGGGATGTCCATCTGTGTGTCATTGATTATGCAAAGGCTTTTGACTGTGGATCACAACAAATTCTGGCTAACCTTGAGAAGAATGGGAATCCCATTACCACCTGATTGTACTCAGGTGAAATTTATACTTGGACTAGGAAAGTCATTAAAACAGAGCAAGGAAATGGAATGATTCAAACTCAAGAAGTGCATTAGAGATGTGTCCTTTCTCCATACCTTTTTAATCTATATGCAAAAAAGATTATTCAGGAGGTTGGACTTTCATGAGGAGGAATGTGGTATTAGGTTTGGAGGAAGATTAAACAGCAACCTGCGATATGTAGATGACACAACCTTGCTTACTGAGGAAGACCTGAAGCATTTGCCACAGAAGGTCAAAGATAGCAATCTCCAACATGGACTGAAGAAGTTCAGTGTCAGGAAAACAAAGATTCTCACCACTGGGCCAATTGGCAGCACCATGATAGATGGAGAAGAGATTGAGATTGTTAACAATTTTCGCTTACTCGGTTCCATAGTCAACACCCTTTGCACCAGCAGTCAGGAAATTATTGTTGTTATGTGCCGTAGAGTAACTTATGATCCTATGTACAATAGCCCTGAAACCTGCTCTGTCCTGTGCCAACTTTACTGCTTCTGACACACCTACCCTCATTACCCTAATCACTGTGTCAATCCATCTCATCAATGGTCTGCCTTTCTCCATTCTTCCACCCTTCCAAATGTGTCATGTCCCTCTCCAGGGAACCAGTCCCTCCTTGCAACATGGCCAGACTTTGTCAGACGAAGCCTTAGAATCCTTGCCTCCAAGAGGAGGCTGGCTTCACCTTCTCTAGGATTAACCTGTTTGTTCTCCTGGCAGTCCATACTATATTCAGCACTCTTCTCCAGCACCTCAGCTCTTCAAAGGCATCAGTTCTCTTTCTGTTGTCCAGCTCTCTGACACATAGCAAGCAGTTACAAAGACTATGGTCTGGATGAAGTGCACCTTAGTCGCCACACTGATGTTATTGTTCTTCGGTACTCTGGAGAGGTCCCTGACAGCCGGCTTTCCCAGTGTAATTCATCTCTTGATTTCCTGGTTGCTGGTACAAAGAGTGTTGATTATGGAGCCAAGCAAATAAAGTTGTTAACAATCTCAATCTCTTCACCATCTATCATGATGCTGCCAATCAGTTCAGAGGTAAGAATCTTTGTTTTTTTGGTGTTGAGCAGCTTTAGTCCATATTGAAGACTACAGTCCTTGATCTTCTGCTGCAAGTGCTTTAGGTCCTCCTCAGTTTCAGCAAGCAGGATTGTGTCATCTGCATAACACAGGTTGTGGAATCTTCTTCAACCTGATGCCACATTCCTCCTCATACAGTTCAGCCTTCCAGATGATCTGTTCTGCATATACACTGAAATGCACTGAGAAGCCAAAGCAAAGGGAAGAAATTAAGGAGCTGAACAGAAGATTTCAAAGGGCTGCTCGGGAAGACAAAGCAAAGTATTGTAATGAAACGTGCAAAGAGCTGGAGTCAGAAAACCAAAAGGGCCGAACTTGCACAGCATTTCTTAAGCTGAAGGAATTGAAAAGCGAATTCAAGCCATGAGTTGCTTAAGGATGCTTTGGGCAGAATATTAAATGATCCAAGAAACATTAGAAGATGGAAGTAGTATAGAGTCACTGTACCAGATGGAATTGGCTGACACAGAATTTCATGAAATAAAGGTATGAGCAATAGCCTGTGGTGATGAAAGAAGAAGTTCAAACTGCTCTGAAAGAATTGGCAAAAAACAAGGCTCCAGGAATTGACGTCATACCAATTGACATATTTCAACAAACAGATGCTGCCCTAGATGTGCTCACTAAGTTGTGCCAAAAATCTGGAGGACAGTCACTTGGCCAACTGACTGGAAGAGATCGATATTTGTTCCCATTCCAACGAAAAGTGACCTGACAGAGTGTGGAAATTATCGAAGAATATCATTAATATCACATGCAAGCAAGATTCTGCTGAAAATGATCCAAAAACGAGTGGAACAGTACATTGACAGAGAACTGCCAGAAGTTCAGGCTGGGTTTAGAAGAGGCCATGGTACTAGGGATATGATATGATATCATATCATAGCTAATATTAGATGGATCTTGGCAGAAGGCAGAGAGAACCGGAGGAATGTCTGTATTTCACTGACTATGCAAAGGCATTTGACTGTGTGGCTCACAACAAACTGGCTAGCTCTGAGAAGAATGGGAATCCCAGAACATTTGATTGTGCTTATGTGAGACCTACATATGGATCAGGAGGCAGTCGTCAGAACAGAACAAGGAGACACTGCATGGTTCAGAATCGAAAAGAGTGTACATCAGGGATGTATTCTGTCTCTAAAAATGAATTACAGTAGAAAAATCCATTTTCAGGACCTCTCCAGAGTACTAAATAGCAACAGTGTCAGTCTAGAGACTAAGGTATGCCTGATCAAGGCCATGGTCTTTGCATTTACTTGCTATGCATCAGAAAGCTGACCAGTGATAAGGATGACAGACGAAGAATCAATGCCTTTGAGTTGTGGTGCTGGAGAAGTGTGTTGAACATACCGTGGATTCCCAGAAGAACAAACAGTTCTGTCCTGGAGAGAGAGAGAAACCACTGGAAGGCAAGGATTTGGAAACTCTGTCTCACATACTTTGGGCATGTTACCAGGAGGGACCAGTCCTTGGAGAAGGACATCATGCTTGAAAGGGTGGAGGTACAGTGCAGGAGAGGAAGACCAGAATTAGATGGATTGACACAGTAACTGAGATAATGGGGTGGGTTTATCTGACACAGAGTGGGTCAGGATGGGGCAGGGTTCTGAACTATTCCGCAGAGAGTTGCTGTGAGTCGCTGGCAACTCAAAAGACACATAAAGACCACCTGGGAGTAGGAAGATGAAGATTTCTGGTGTCTGGCTGACAGGTAGGAGCCAGAAATGTCATCGTGTATCCTGCAGCTCACAAAACCACTCCAACTAGGAAGGCTCAGACCTGAAGCCTCAGCGGTGTCATTGTTGAGAGGTTTCCGCAGAAAGAGACGATTTTTAAAGGCCCCTGTTGGATGACAGTGGGCTTCAGACGTTTCTGAAGGACAGGGGACTTGCTGGAGAATGCCATTCTCACCCTGTGCTGGTAATTGGAGAGGCATCTAGATTCTCTTCCTGGTAGCTGGATTGCTGATGTCCTGTGAAGCAGAGGAACAGATGGCCAGAGGAGTCCTTTGGTGTTGTTTTCTTGTTAATCTTTAAGAAGATGCCCAGATGACCTCAGTGCAGGTTTTGTCATTGTCAGATTTTTCTCCTGCAGCTTCAGGCATTGTTGTCCAGCTGTTGGGTTTTAAACTCTTAGGCAGTTTTTCTCTTCTGAGGCGCTTGATCTGAGCAGTGAAACATGGTCTAGATAACAGTCTTTTTCAGTTGTTTTATTTTGTTGTTGAGAATGTACACTCAGCAGAACATACACCATTTGAACAGTTTTGACATGCCCCTCAAGCCAGGCTGGGTAGTGGTTTTTTCTGCTGGTAATAGGCACAGCAGAACACGTGCCCATTCACCAGTAGCTCGTGTACTGCTCACTGATGCTGACAACAGTCTCAGCATCGGGCATCCAGTCTCACTCCCTTCTCTGGGATTTTCCTCTCCTGTCGTGGAAACCCACTTCCCTTACGCTTATCCTTCAAATGGCTGTTGCTCATTATTATTCTTTAAACGCACAGTGCTCAAAGCAGGCATTCTTTCCTAGTTAAGAATTACTCAAGAGAAGAAATTTCATAAGCAAATCAGTCACAAAATCTTCAAGAGATAAAGCTTAAAGATTATCTCAGGATAGTAGTTTCAGAGGTTTGTCCAGCCGCCATAACACTAACAAATCTGGGTTCTGTGAAAATTTGAAACTCTGTTCTGCATCCTGCCCTTTTGATCAGGATTCTCCTATCGAATCTTCAGTTGAAATGTTGAGGAATGTGATTCAGTCACCATCCATTCCTTTTGGTCTCATGACAGTGAAGTGACTTTTCATAGAGGTAATTAGCCACACATTACGTTTTCCCATCACTTCCGCCTCCAGTCTGGCCCTGTTCTGAGTTCCCACGTGCCACACGAGACGGTGTCCTGTGAAGAGCACAGAAAGCAGGGCCTCCCTCCCTGGCCCCTTGCCTTCTAGCTCTGTTACTTAACTAGCTTTGCAGTTGTGCTGTGAGAATCAAATGAGAGAGACTTAAGTAAATCAGAATACTCAAGACTGTGCTGAGCTAGGGAACTAAAACTGTAATAATAGAAAGCCACTCAGTGGCTGCTGGAGGATGAGGATAGCTGAGGGGGCTTAGGAGAGGGCACAGGAAACTGTTAGGAGTAAGAAGTGTTTTCACAGGTGTGCATATATATGGTAAAACTTCAAACTGAAATAGGTGTAGTTCATTGTATCCTAGGTGATAGTATGGCAATAAAATTGTTCTTAAAACAATGAAGCACATTTAAGCCTGAGGTCTGGCACTTGGTGGCCAGGCTCCTGCATAGGGCATTCTCAGCCCTGACTGCCTGCAGGGTTGGTGAGAGGATCAGGTCTAGCCCAGCGCTCCTTGAGACTGTTGTTCTTGCTCCTGAACATTAGGGCCTGGCCTGGTGGGGTGAGAAGAGCTCTGGTCCTTCCCAGGAGCCTCACTTAAGCAGCAGCTTTGAGAATAGCGGGGAGGCTGCTGTCTTGAGGGGAGGCTGATCTGAGGCGAGGCTGTTCTGAAGGGGAGGATGTCCTGACGTGAGGCTCTTCTGAGGGGCGGCTTCAGCAGCAGCAGCAGGGACTCTCAGAGAGCTTTGTGCTGCCTGTTAGAGGCTGAGTCTTAGAGAGCTGACCTGCCCTGAGCTGCCCTGAGCTCTGTCTTAATGGGGGAGGCCAGACCTTAGTACAGAGGTGGCACTGGCTGTGTCCTGGCAAAGACTCTCCAAGTACCAGGCATGGATGTGTATTTTGGCCTGGTGAGGACGGGAGGGCCAGGTGCTCCAGGGCAGTGGGGTCTCCAGGTGTAAGGCCAGTGAGCAGCTGGGTTCCTGCGGCCTAACACTCACACCTCACCTTGTGTAATAGGATAAGGAGGGACAATTGAAAAGCTTTACTCTGCTGCCTTCACTTGCCTGAGCGATGAGGCTGCAGCACGTGAGGTGATGGGCTTTGCGGAGCGGATGTGCACTCTGTGTCCTGGGGGGCTGAGGCGCCCGGGAGAGGCTGGGGGCGCAGACGCACCAGGGTGAGGCCCCTGGCCCTGGTGACACCACTGCAGAGCCTCTGCTGGCCCTCGATTTCCATCGATGACAAGGATGCAGTGAGAATTCAGTGACTTGGTACTCACTAGATGATAGCAGGTAATGTGCCGGAGAGAAAGGCAGATACCCTCAGATAACGCATCCTAGCCACCCTCTGCCATGTTGTCAGTCACTTGGTTTTGAGAGACTAACAAGTGCTGAGCATATTGCAGTGACCAGGACCATCGTCCTCCCCACCCAGACATGCAGTCCTCGGACACAGGATCCCTCCCTGTCCGCTCTTGCCCTTTGTTGGCACAGAGACGGAGACTGAGCTGTGAGCAATGCCTCTCTTCCCAGGCTGAACCGGCCGCTCACCCTCTCAGAGAAGATAGTCTACGGCCACCTTGATGACCCGGCCAACCAGGAGATTGAGCGAGGCAAGACCTACCTCCGGCTGCGGCCGGACCGTGTGGCCATGCAGGACGCCACCGCCCAGATGGCCATGCTGCAGTTCATCAGCAGCGGGCTGCCCAAGGTGGCGGTGCCATCCACCATCCACTGTGACCACCTGATCGAGGCCCAGCTTGGGGGCGAGAAAGACCTGCGGCGAGCCAAGGTGAGCAGGGGCTGGGGGCTGGGAGGGGAGCCCACCCAGGCATGGCCTCCAGGTTCTGCCAGGTGCTTTGGGTGGTTGTTGTGTTGAAGTTGGAACCAACTCATAGCTGATCCGCCAGTGGGTTTTGAGAGGCTGTAAATCATATGGGCGCAGCTGGTGCATGTGAACCGTAGGCCTTTGGGATTGCAGTGCTGTTTCTTACCACTGGGCCACCAGAGTCAGTCTTTAAAAAAAACAATTACTGTTCTTTTCTGATCCAGCAAGTCCCATTTGCTCCTTGAGAAAACATTAAAAAATATGGAACAAGAATAAAGAAACAAAACCGTTCTTAATCGTCTCACTCTGGAGGTGTTTCTCTTGTCTTAGGAGAATGATAGGCACTGCCGGTCACTGAGTCAAGGAGAGTAAAGGTCCCTCTGCGCAGGCAGCGTGTTTCAGTGCAGACGGTCCTGTCCCCCCCCTCGGATCGAGGGCTCTCAGAAAGTGGGCCAGAACGGGTCACTGGTTATGAATTTGGGATGCACAGGGCCCTTCTCACCGGGTCACACAAGCACAGGGCAGGATTAAAGCTAACCTCTGACCCTGACCCCCATGCTCTTGCTACTTGACCTCCTCTGGAGGCTTGCTTTGATGAAGTTTACTCAACTAGATAGACGGGACACTGGGGCCCCTGGGGTGTCCCCCCACCCTTCCTGAGAAACCTGATCCTGCCCCTAGACTGGCCTTGGGTGCTGCCTTTAGTGTGCCGCCTCCTGGCAGAAGCAGATCTCCACAGCCCTCACGGGGGGCTGCTGGCAGGAACTGAATGCTGGCAGGACCTACACTGGCACAGAGCAGGGCCTGGGACTGAGTGAGCTCTGGCCCCCAGGCCAGTCCAGGGCAGAGCCTCTGGTCCATGGGAACCGCTCAGGGTGGCATTCTCACCCAGCCGTCTGCCCGCTCGCGGTGTCCTGGTGCAAGGTGGTTCCTTCCTCCTCGGCTGGAGGGGAGCCCTGCCTGCCTGCAGCACTCCCACCTTGTGGTGATGGTGGTGCCAGTGTCACAGGAGTCCCTGTGGTACAAGGACCTGGACATGACCTGGGTTCCTCAGTCCTGAGGACACAGTGGGAGCGCTTGGCTCTCCCCTCGGTTGGAGGGTCAGCATCCACTCAGTCACTTCCTTCCAAGGGTGAGAATCGTTCGCTCAGTCATTCAGCAAGTCCTTACAGAGCACTTGGTGTGTGCCAGGCTTGACCCCAGGACCTGAGAATTCAGTGGGGATGAATCAAGACCCCTGCCCCCATGGAACTCAAGGAGCCTCATAGGGGGAGGCGCTGAACGTACACATTCAGAATCACTGTATGTGCTGCTGGGGGACAAGGCCATGCTGTGGGGGAGTAGCCTGGAGCCTGGTGTCTAACTGGGGGGAAAAGGAAGGCTTCTCTGAGGAGGTGATGCATAAGCTGAGATCTAAACAGATGAGTCAGTGTTAACTGCGGGAAGAACATTTTAGGCAGAATAGTGATTGTAAAGGCTTCGAAGCAGGAAGAAATTGAAGCTCTTACAGCCTGGACTACCTGTGTGTGTCAGAGTGTGAGGTGAGGTGCTGGAGGTGGGTTTCTGGGGCTCCGTCCACTGAGGGCTATGGGAGCTGAGAAGTCATGGGGAAGTCTTAAGTCAGGGAGGGATGTAGTCAGATTTACATACAACTGTGAAGGGCCACCCGGTGAGCCCACCACTGCTAGGGCCCCCTCTTCTCCTCACACCCACAGACATGTGTGTCTGCCCACCTGTCCTGAGTACCAATTCCATAAGGGCTATGGGTAAATGACTAGGAAGCGTGTTAACCAATAGTTGGAAAGCCTGCCCTTCTCTCTGGTCTCGGGGTCCCAGCTTCCGGGTGTATCTGTGACGGCGCTGGGTTAAGTCATCTATGCAGGTCCCTCGTTCTGTCCATTATTTATTCACTTGGGGAACTCACATGGGTCCTCGGGATTGCATGGTGAGACTAGAATTTGAGGGACCCAGCTCTCCAGCCGCGGTGTTGGCAGGCCTCATTGCTGGTGCCTCCTTTGGAAATCTGGCAGTCCAGCTGAGTCCCCTTCCTCCTGTCACAGGGGTTACACTTCTCCAGGGACATTTCCTAGCTTCTTGGGGATCCCTGGCCACATGTCTGTGGTGCTGCGCAGCCTTCCCACCTCCTGAAGCTGCCTCTGGTCATGGCTGATGGCAGGGTGGGCGCAGCTCTTCCGTCGGTTTGGCTCTCTGGAAAGCAGTGGGCTGTTGGGGTGTCTTTATTTGGGGTCCTCACACTATAACCAAGCCCTGGTGCCAGACACCAGACCAGGTGCTTTCCTTGGTGGATCTCATTTCCTCCACCTCAGAAGGGCAATTGTTCTGGTTTATATTAAAATGTAGTTGGCAGGATTGAACAGACCTGTGGTGTAAGAGTTAAAACATCAAGCTGCTGACCAAAAACGTTAGCAGTTTGAACCCCTGGGAGTAAGCTGAGGCAGTCTGCTTCGTAACAGCTTCCCCTCAGAAACCCTGGGGCGGTTCTGCTCTGTCCTGTGGCATCGCTTAAGGTGGATGACTTGATGTCAGTGGGTTCAGGTTTGGCTTTGTCGTCAAACCCTGGCTGCGCTGTGGAGCTCTATGGTCTCCAGCTCTTGCCTCGTGTTTTGCACCTACAGTGGGCTTGATCACCAGACTTCCCCTGCTGGTGGGGTGTGGGGATGTTCAGCCTGGCACCCATTGCCTGATGGGCATTCTGTGAAGGGCAGTGTTATTACAGCTGAGTCCTCCAGGTTCAGGTGGGACACAGCAAACCAGCTGTCCCCCGCCTCAGCACTGTGTCCCGGCCACATGTCTGCACAGAGCAGTCCTCCCTGGCGGTCTCATCTGAAGGACTTTGACTGTCACGAGGGCCTTCAGGCCAGCTCCTCCTACAGATACACAGAGTGGAGCGCTTCCGTCACCCGGTGTCCCTGAGCTGGGCCAGCTCTGCTGTCTTGCCCTTCTCCCCTCCCTCCAGCTGAGCCTGCAGGCCACCATCCAAGCCCTTTGGGGAGTATTTTTAGTTCTTCAGAAACAGACCTGTCCTCAGTGCCAGCATATCAGAGTCACAGGGGGGGTGGGGGAGGAGGGCCAGAACAAGGGTGAGCCTGATGCAAGCCAGGTTACTGATGCTGTCGTTATCGATTGTCTCAACAGGACATAAACCAGGAAGTGTATAATTTCCTGGCAACGGCAGGTGCCAAGTATGGTGTGGGTTTTTGGAGGCCTGGATCAGGGATCATTCACCAGGTGAGTTGGGGGTCACTCTCCTTTGCCAGGGAGCAGGGCCTAGGCTCAGGTGAGCAGAAAGCACTTTCTGTCGCTGCCCGAGGGCTGCTCTAGGCTCCGGAAACTGGGCCGATTGATGAATTCATTGAGCTCTTGAACTCTTCCTTCTTTGAAGTCATTCTTTAAATGTCCACAATTCCTTGCAGAAAATTCAGCTAACTTCTTAGTTTTGCAACTACTATCTTATTTCTCAGTATTGGCTTCAAAGTTCATCCATGTGATGTACAGCAGGCCTTCATTTCTCCTTACAACTGAGGAATATTCTATCCTGTGGAATACTTGCATTTAGAATGAATTTTTTAATATGTTCTGCATTCCCATTGTAAATAGACTATTTCAGCAGCATTTTTAGGTTTACAGAGAAATGAAGCAGAAAAGAGACAGTTCCCATAGGTACCCCTCCTACACTGTTTCTGCTAGCATCTTGAATTCCAGGGCATATTTGTTATATCTGCTGAACTAGTATAAGTTATTATGAAATAAAGTCCAAGTGGACATTTGGGCTAACTGTATGTGTCATAGAGTCCTGAGGATTTTAGCAAATGCCCAGTGTCATGTGTCCGCCATCGCTGTATCATGCCCGGGAGTTTTGCTGACCTTAAAATGCCCGTCTCCCTTCCTCACCCGCCTGCCCCACCACCAAACCCCAGAAGCATTGATCTGCTTACTGCCTATAGTTTTGCCCTTTCTGGAATGTCATATAGTGGGAATCTTACAGTCTATCAGCTTCTCAGACTGGCTTTCTTCACTTGAACTTGCCTTTTCAAGTCTGTGGTAACAATAGCTCATGAATAATTTGATAAGCACATACATGTGTCAGGCACTATACTGAGCACCTTAAAAATACTCACTTAGCAGTCACTGCAACACTATGAGATAGGGACCTTCGGTATCTACACCTTACAGATAAAGAAACTGAGGCATAGAGAAGTCCACTTGGCTAGAGACACCCAGACCTTGGCATGCACCTAGATAGGCTGGCCTGCAGCCAGTGCCTCTGCCCACGGCCCTTACTGCCCGCCCCCTGCAAGGTTCCCCAACACTGCACGTGGCACACCTCTCCTTCAGCCCCTCACTGCATTCACTGTGTAGGATGGGGCACCGCAGGAGACCTGGCCACGTCAGCCTGGGGCTCCTTTCCTGACTGATTCCTGTGAGGGTGAGTGTATGCATGTGTTCTGGGGACGTGGGCGCTTATCTTTCCCCAGGGGCACTTTGAGGACCACTGAAGAGATACAGGGCATGCAGCGCCGTGTGTGTCCATCTGTGAAAACCTACCTTTGCTCCTTCCAAGGTGCCCTGCTCCCCACCCAGCCCAGGCCTCCTTCAGCATGAGCTGAGTCAGTCTGTAACCTGACCCACCCCGTGCCCAGTGTACCCCACTCAGAAACCAGAGCCCAGGCATCACTGCTGTGCCCTTTCAGACCTCTGTCTTCACCAGGAGGGGCTGCCTGGGTGGTAGGCCGCAGCTATGTGGGGGACCAGAAAGCCGATGGCAGACTAGGGAGGCTGCTGGGACCAGCCTGGCCTGTTGTCATGAACGTGTCCCGTCCATTCTACATCGGCTCAGTGACCAGGCCTCCCAAGCACCCTGCCATCATCTGGGTCTGAGTGGCGGCCCCCGACTATCCAGCAGCCTGATCAGTACACAGAAACCTCAGCCATCTGGGTGCCGTGCAGCCAGCCTCAGCTTTCTCTCGCCGCCTCCTGTCAGGGCACTCCACCCCTCAGTGTCCAAAACAGACCTGCCCCTGCCCCGCATCCCCGCTCCACCTCGCATGCCCTGTCCCCAGCCTGCCTGGCAGGTCCCATCCTCATCATCTCAGGTGTGAGGCCCCTGCCTCCCGTGTACAGTGCTGGGCCCCCCTCTTCAGCTGCTCCTCAGTGAGAGACCCCACCAGGTACCCAGTGCTTCCCTGGGACCATCTGCACTATGCAGATGGGCCTGGGACTCATTTCTTCCTCACTGGCCTGAGTGGATTGGTGCAGAGTAGGTCTTCCTTGTGCAGGACGGCTGGGCTTCCAGTTTTACATTTGAGATGTTCCTCGTGCCTTGAAACCCACTCTCCCATCACCCTCAACACCCAGCCGTATCTTTTGGACTGATGATTCCTCAGTGGAAAGATGGTGCCTCTCTGTGATTGGAATCTACTAATTGCTTCACAGGAAAGAGATGGGCAGTTGCTTCTGTGTGATTTAAAGTCTGAAACCTTGCAGAAAGCTCAGCTCCCACTTGATGGTGAGGAGTCTTTTGAGGCAAAGCACTGCCACAGCCCACTGATCCCTGGGCAGTGCTGTCTGCAGTCTATGCGCCTGTGTCTTGCCCAAGCCCCTTATTGATTTCATGGCTGGTCTTCATGGATCCGACCATGAGAAGTGTCAGATAACTAGACTTTCATCTTGGCATATGGCTGAGACAGTGGAAGGCAGGAGAAGTGACTTGGTTAACAGTTACTCAGTTTCCTGTATGTTGGCCTGGTCTTTCCAGCAGCTGTGTACTGCTAGGGAAGGACCCAGGCCTTCCTGTGTTCTGCATACCCTTGAGAGAGGCCCTGGCTGGATGCAGAGGCCCTGGGTTCACAGAAGTTCACAGAACGTCACAGGGCACAGGTTCATAGTGTAAAGTCGCAGAGCACAAATCCACAGAAGCACAGAGTTACCGATCACAGTTCACAGACACTCAAGGTCACAAAGAACAAATCCAAAGAGCACAAGGTCACGGAACACAGTTCGCGGAGTGAGAATCACAAAGCACAGCTCAGAGCTCTTCACATCTTGCCTTCTCCTGTTCATTCTGAAAGATAAAAGGCAGAATTGCAGATGAAACTCTTGCTGAGTAATAGTAAAGGTACAGACGTATAAAAGTACTGCCTTCCTCTCTGTCCTGAGCTCTGTTGCGTGCTGAGTAAATAGACGTGGCCGTGCTGAGTCGTCACAGTGCTGCGAGGGGACACTGCTGCCTCTCTTATATGAGAGAGGATGCTGAGCTCTGGAGCCGGATGTGGCTTGCTCAGAGACCCACAGTTCATAGGTGGTGGAGCGAGCTCAAGGCCGCCTAGCCTGGAGCTTCTCCCAGTGTCCCCAGCCTCAGAAATGTCCCTGCTGCAGCCCAGGTGCTAGGCAGGGCCACACCTGGGTAGCTGACCCTGTGCCTTCCCTGCCTTTGTTACCAGAGGTTTGGGGAGAATGACCTCCAGTCAGCCTCTTCCCAGCTGGAAGGCATGCCTCTGTGAGGGGCATATCATAACCTGCCTTCCTGTGAAATAGCAAAGCCACTGAGAAAGTGAATCGGGATCTGTCCTACCCCTGGCTTCCTGTCTGCTCTCCATGAGCTCGTCTTCCTGGTCAGTGCCAGCTGCCTGGGCTAGAAGGTACCCTCACTGGTGTGGTGGAGGCCCCCCTGGATTTTCCCAGAACTGCTTTCTCTTGATTCTGCCATGGCCAGTTTAGGAGGTGCACCCCAAGACAGAGCTTGACAGTTAAGGTGACTGTGCCCCTTTCCATTCCCCTCAGTCTTAAAGGGTCCAAGGCAGTGTGTGAGGTGGAAAGAGGTGGGCTCAGGGCCAGAGGGGTGTGGCTTTCAATGTGGGCTGTGCCACGCATCTCACTTGGACCCCCTTGAACGAGTCACTTCAGCCAACAGTGGACAGCCTCATAACCAGTGTCCCCACTGGGAGCCACACTCGTCAGGATCCCTGGTGGTGGCCGGAGCAGTTCCTGAAAGAATTGTCTCTAGTGAGAACCCAGTGGTGCCACCTTAGACCCTGCCCAGGCCGCCACAGGAGGCAGCCCAGCGTGTCCTAGGAGTGTCTGGCAGCTCACCCTAGTCCCTGGGCCCGTCACGGGACAGCCTCCCTTCCCAGTTCATCCGGTTCTTACTGTGATCCTGGGTCGAGGTGGTGCAGGTGCTTTGGCACCAGGTGAGGGAGCTGAGGCCCATGGAGGCATTTTACAGGTCAGCCCCTGTAGGCAGGAAGTGTCAGGGAGTCATGGCCCAAGTCCATCCTCGGGGCCTCAGGCTCTTCCTGGCCATGCTGGAGCTGCCCTGTCTTAAATGGACCACCCTGCTGGGCCCTGTGTCCCTTGGGGCCCTGTGTCCCTGGGGGTTGTTTTCTGGCCAATCCCTTTCGGCCTTAGTAGCCTCAGGCTCAATTGGGGGAATCTTAGCTTAAGATGTTGATTTTGGGTTTCTCCCCCTAGATCATTCTGGAAAACTATGCGTACCCTGGCGTTCTTCTGATCGGCACTGACTCCCACACCCCCAATGGTGGAGGTCTTGGGGGCATCTGCATTGGGGTCGGGGGAGCCGATGCTGTGGACGTCATGGCTGGAATCCCCTGGGAACTGAAGTGCCCCAAGGTGAGGAAGGGCTTGTGGTCACATGAGTGACGGTAGTCTGAGACCCAGAGGACTTGGGAGGGTGGGCCCGTCAGCAGGAACGAGAGCGAGCTCCTGGGCCTCCTGGTTGAGCGAGGTCGGCTCAGACCTGTCATCGCGGTCCTGTCCTTCCGCTTAGGTGATTGGTGTGAAGCTGACAGGCTCGCTCTCTGGCTGGACCTCCCCCAAAGATGTGATCCTGAAGGTGGCGGGCGTCCTGACGGTGAAAGGTGGCACGGGCGCCATCGTGGAGTACCACGGGCCTGGCGTCGACTCCATCTCCTGCACTGGTGAGGGCAGCTCACCTGCCCGGCCTGTGGGCGCACTCAGGGCCTTCCCTGGGTGGTCTGTTCAGCAGTGGGGTTTGGGCCAGACTTGCCATCTGCCTTGGAAATCCAGTCACAGACTTAGCAGTAGAGGGGAGATGGCATTGGCCCACCTTGGACAGATGACATCTCAGGAAGAGCAGGTGACCTCCCCGTGGCCACACACTGGGCCGAGCGAGGACTCCTGGTGCCCAGGGCCCTGAGCCTCCTTGGATGATCAGAAAGAAGGGAGGTGGGGTGGGATGGGGACTCAGCTTTCTCGGCTGGTGGTGGAGCCTCCCTTATTCCCCTGGAGTGGAAATCCCAGACCACTTAGTGTCCAAGACCAAGGAGCGAGCTCTTCACTCTCCATAGCTCCTGGTGGCCTGGTATTGCTGTCTGGCTGTCAAACACCCAAGGACATGGGACACATCTCAGAGGGGTTCAGGCTCCACAGAGCTGCTATTCCCAGAAGCCGCTTAGGAACCCATTGAATTGAGCCTCTGAGGCCTCTGTTCAGTGGCTCCGAGCCTAGCCTTCTGCCCATGGCAGCCCTGGGACACGCTTCCCCTGCAGGCCCGGGGGTCCCTGCCCAGCTGCTCAGCCCCAACAGCCTCTGTTTCCCTGCAGGCATGGCGACAATTTGCAACATGGGCGCAGAAATTGGGGCCACCACCTCAGTGTTCCCTTACAGCCACAGGATGAAGAAATACCTGAGCAAGACCGGCAGGGCAGGTGAGCCAACAGGGTAGAGGTGGGGCTGCCACAGGTGCTACGTGCACTTCTTCAAGGTCCCTCTGAGCAAGCACGTTGACCCCTCAGCTGATGTCTGCGAGAGGCCACCGTTGGTGTGTGCTAAGCTCTGCGTGTGACTTCCTGCGTAGCTGTCTGCCCGAGTTTGAGATGTCCCTGCCTCAGGGCTGAATTAGAGTTTGACCTGTAGGATGACTGGGTAGTGGGTGTTCCTTGGTTTATAACCGTGTGCCCCTATCGGGAGCTTCAGAAATGATCCGATCTGCTTTATAATCCGGCTGTAGCAGGGAAGGAAGAGACACTGAATCAGGGCCCAGCCTCCCTCCTCACCCTCCCCAGGAGGTTGCAGCGCCAGGCTTCCTCCCCAGCAGGTTCTGAGTGTCTGTGAGGCTCAGTGCTGGAAGCGGGGCTTTTGGGAGGAGTTGTCGGCTGTGGACAGGCAAGTCGGGCCTTGGGGTGAAGCCAGAGCTGGGGCCCAGGGGAGCCTGTCCCTTTACTTTTGACCCTTGAGCACCTGCATTCTTCTCTGCAAGGCCCTACCCCTCCCTTTCTAAATTGAGTAACTTCTCCAAAATTTACTCTGCACAGCCCCAGGAAGCCTTCTCCACCTCTGACCTCCTGGGGGGTGTGCTCCGGGTCCCCGCATTCCTGTTTCAGCTCCTCCACTAGATTTGTGAGCTCCTTGGGGCAGGACAGTGCTCTGTGCTGTTTTGTTCCTTTGCCCTGTCAGTGCCCAGGTCTGGCTTCTGGTGAGTGCCAGGTAGTGGACAGATGGATGGACGGACGGACTCAGGATCATTCTCTGTTCCACGTGCATCAGCCCCCTCCTCCCTCATTGATTTCAGACATTGCCAACTTAGCCGAGGAATTCAAGGATCACTTGGTACCCGACCCTGGCTGCCATTATGACCAAGTGATTGAAATTAACCTCAATGAGGTAAGGAAGGGAGTTAGGTTCAAGGAATTTCAGAGGGTGGGAGTTCAGGCCCCACTGGACGTTCCTCATGGCCACTGGTCTTCAGAAGCAGTGGGAGGGTCACAGCCAGCAGGCTCCTGGGCCTTTGGTGCCCTTGTTCCTGCAAACCGCCCCCTGAAGCAGGCTGGACTGGAGCTGTGCTTGGGGCAGGTGGAGGCTTCTGCCTCAGAGACAGTCCATCTGTCCCCCGGAACCCAGCAAAACCCACACTTTGCTGCTGGGTTGGCGTTGGTGTCAGAGCTCGTTAGCTGCATGGAGGGCTGAGCAGGGTTGGAGCCTCTGAGGTCTGCAGACCAGAGCTGGCCTCGGAACACTGGAAGCGAGGCAGCAGGGCACAGCGATGTGGAGGCCTTGGGCCCTGAAGCACGCGTTCAAGCACATGTTCACCTCTCAGCTCTGCTGCTTAACCCCTGCAGCCCACGCTTCGTCATCTGTCAAGCATGAGGCGCTGAGGGGATTCAGGACGTTGACTCACGACGTGGTAACTGCTGACATTTATTGAGCACTTGGTGTGTGTCAGGCACTAGCTCAATGCTTCATGTTTACTCCTAAGTATGAGTCTATCCAACAGCCCTGGGGCATCATGATACAGCACTCAGCTACTGAGTGAGAGGTTGACTGTTCAAACCCGTCGTTCTACAGTGGGAGAAGTTCTTCATCGTGAAGGGAGCTCTGGTGGCTAAATTGTAAGGAATTGAGCTGCCAACCCAAAGGTACTGGGTTCAGATCCACTAGCTGGTCTGAGTGAGAATGATGAGCAATCTCCTCTCATGAGGGTTACAGCTTCTGAGAATCCACTGGAGGCCCAGCTGTGAGTCAGTTCCGAAACAGAACAGCTCCGTCCTGTAGGGTCGCTGTGAGTCGGAACAATACACTTGACAGCAGTGTGTCTGGGTTTGAGCTGCTTATTTTAGTGAATCTCTGTAAAGCTTCCTCAGGCTGTGTGGGCAGGAGACAGTAGAGCTAGGACGAGGCTGTGGTGGCACCCTCCGTGCCACTGACATCCCTGAGCTCTGTGACCTTGACGGGACCTTGACTGAGCTCTGTGACCTTGACGCCTCCCTTCTCACCGGGCAGTGAGACAGTTTTCCCACGCTGCCCTGCACAGCATCTGCAGGGAGCGCGGAGCTTCCAGACGCAGGCTGAGGCCTGGGAGCAGGACTTGACCCCGGGACCTCTGCAGGGACTTGGGCATGGGGCCCAGGCAGGCCTTGCTCCCCACGCAGGCTCTCATGCACGCTCTCTGTCTCCTCAGCTGAAACCACACATCAACGGACCCTTCACCCCCGACCTGGCCCACCCGGTGGCAGAAGTGGGCAAAGTGGCCGAGAAGGAGGGGTGGCCCCTGGACATCCGAGTGGGTGAGCACCTCCAATCCCGGTCGACAGCTGTGCCGACTGGAGGTCCTTCCAAGGCAGAGCTGAGAGTGTTTGCTTCATGACTGTCTTAGGGTTTTTCCTTAGTGTCAAAGAAATGAATGTTCAGTGTGGAATTAGCCAACAAGAAGGGTTAGAAATCCTACTGATCCCAGGACAGGCTCCAGGAGCGCGTGGCTCTTGTCGCGTTCACATCACACAGACATCGCCTCCGAACATGTAGTCACAACCAGGCTTCACTTTACATCTTCACTCATCCAGTTTTCTTCCACGTCAGGAGGCTTTGTGCCCTTGAGCAACTCACTTCACCTCCCTATGCCAGTGTTCCCCATCTGTAAAATGGGATCATAGCCATACTAAAACCTTTTAGGAGAAGAGAATGATTAATATGTGAGAAAATTTTGTATAATGTCTTGACAAAATAAGTGTTCATACTTAGTAGTTAAAGTTAAAATATATTTAAGAAAGTTTTAGTATTTAAAAAACAAAGCTTTAGTGTTTTGATAATTTGAGAAAAAAAGACTGAATTGAGGGGAGACTGTAACTTTGACAAGCTAGTTTTTAAAATATGAACTGTTTCATTAATTGGTCACCTTTTGAAGAGGCCATCTCCTTTGTTCTGCTGTTAGTCTGTGTGTTACCATTGCGAGCATTTGCTAAACGTTTTAAGACCTTTTCTTCCCCTCCTCGCCCGTTCAGTAAACAGTGAAAAGTCAGAGGGTGCTCCAGGCAGACGAGAAGCACATAGTCATAGTCCCACCGAGCCCTGCCTGTGGTGAGGGTGGCCCTGTCTCTAGAGCCCTCTGGAGTGGACACACACTCACCTTGGAGTTTTACAAGCTAGTGATTGTTGTTGTTAGGTGCCACTGAGTCAACTGCGACTCCTAGAGACCCTCTGACCAAGGAGCCTGAACCCTGTTCTGTCCTGGACCCGCTTCATCTCTGACACGCTCGAGCCCACTGTTCAGTCACTGTGTCAGTCCGCCTCGCTGAGGGGCTTCCTGTCTCCACTGGGATGGCATGGTGTCTCCTCAGGACCCAACAACATGCCCAGAGTACGCAGGGCCAGCTTTCACCGTCCTTGCCTCCAAGGAGTAGTTCCCAGGTTGCACTTGCTCTGAGACAGCTTTGCGGACACAGGGCGTGCTGTCTGCACGCTGTCAGTCACGTCTGGTTAACCAATGTCCCTGGATGTTGGGTGTGTAGGTGCCATCAGCTTTTCTCTACTAAAAGTGACCACTGACCCAGCACACTTGGTGGACTCTTATGGCAGTTCTGGCTCGTCTGAGGTCCAGGGGGAGACCTCTGGTCACACTCTCCTGCTGACCTCTGACTCTGCTGACCTCTGCCCCAGGTCTGATTGGCAGCTGCACCAACTCGAGTTACGAGGACATGGGGCGCTCGGCAGCGGTGGCCAAGCAGGCACTGGCCCACGGGCTCAAGTGCAAGTCCCAGTTCACCATCACGCCGGGCTCTGAGCAGATCCGCGCCACCATCGAACGGGACGGCTATGCGCAGACCCTGCGGGATGTGGGCGGCATCGTCCTGGCTAACGCCTGCGGCCCCTGCATTGGCCAGTGGGACAGGTGAGGGGTGCTGTTTGGCAGGAGGAACGTGATACTGGGATGGAGAGGAGAGACTCAAACCCAGGACCCCAGCGTCAGGGGTTAGTGCACGCTGGAAAGTTCCCCAAGGCATGACTTGAAGGATGGGCTGATGGAGGGGTGCTGAGTGGCTGCATGGTCGGAGCTGGACCAGCAGGGGGAAAGCTGAGAGTCCTGGCCCAGTCAGGCCGCTGGGGACTCGCACGGAACCTCTCAAAGTGACGGCTTAGGGAGAGGAGGAGGGGCCCGGGTTGAGAACCTCGCCCTGGGCAGGTCTTTCCACCACGTAGCCTCACACCTGCCTCGCTGGGCCTGGCGGGTCCCCTGCTCTGTATCTGAGTCCCAGGAAGGAGGCTGTTGATTCACATCCTTGAATCTCCCCTCGGGAGTTCAGCATGAGACTTGGGTGAGCTGGGAGGGCAGGCCCGGACAGCCCTCACCGGGTCCCCTCTGACCTGGCAGAAAAGACATCAAGAAGGGGGAGAAGAACACCATCGTCACCTCCTACAACAGGAACTTCACAGGCCGGAACGACGCCAACCCCGAGACCCACGCCTTCGTCACTTCCCCCGAGGTGAGGCTCCCTGCAGGCGAGAGCTGGGGCCGCACCCAGCCAGAGGCACCGGCAGAGGACTCGGGGCTGGAGCTTCTGACCCCACAGGCCTGCTTCCTGGGTGTTTCCTCCTGGTCTCCCCCATCATGGGGTGTTTCTCTAGTACAGTTAAAGGAGAAGAACCTGGAGCTCAGAGCCTTCACGTGAGCCTGAGGTTCTCTGGGGAAGAGAAGGGTGGTGACTTGGCTGAGCTCATTGCTGGGATTTGTTTCAGGAGAAGACATTCCAAAGTCCGTTAAAAATTGAGCCTGGGGCCCTGGTGACTGTAACCAGCACGAGTCAGGGTTCTGCCAGTCACAGCTGGCACGTGGCCGCCCTCTGCTGATTGGCCTTTCTTCTTTAAACACAGCATCGCATTTATTCCCTACCCCGTCCCTTTCTCCTCACTTTGTTACACACAGATTTGTCATTACTGCTGTGGTGGGTCCTGTGTGACCCTCCATCGTTGGCCATTGTCCCTCAGCAGTGCTGCACCGTTTTGTTGTTTTGACCTGGCATTCCGTTTCTCGGTGGTTGTTGGGTGCCGTTCAGTACAGTGACTCTGAACAGAAGATGTGAAGCCTGCCCTCTCCTGTGCCATCCTCACCACCGCCAGCATACTCGAGTCCACTGCTGCAGTCACTGTGTCCATCCACCTGGCTGGGGGTCTTCCCCTTTTGCTGACCCTCCTCCTTTCTGAGCATGATGTCCCTCTCCAAGGAAGAGCTTCTCCTAGTGACACGCCCAGAGTATGTGAGATGAAGCTTCACCGTCCTTACCTCCATGGAGCACTCTGGCTGCCCCTTCTCCAGGACAGATCTGTTTGTTCTTTGTCCATGAGATGTTCATGGAGTCTCCAGCACCACAGCTCAAAGGCATCAATTCTCCTGTCATCCTTACTCACGGGCCAGCTCTCAGCAACATAGCAAATGACTGAAAAAGACCCTGGCCTCAACCAGGCACCCCTTAAGTCTTCAAACTCACATCATTCCTTATAAATAATTTGAGGAACTCCATTTTATCGAGAATCCCCAATAGGCCCACTTGATGGTTACATACTCGATGGGCATTGTGGTGGGTTTTATTCTTGTAGCTACAAACAGTGCTGCCCCCAAAACTGTTTGCCAATGAGTTGACTGTGTTGGCCACAGGCTGCCTCACTCTGCACCACCTCTGATTGTCAGAAACAGTTAGGGTAGTGTCTTCTGATCTAGACATGGTTCAAAAATTAGAATTTGATTTGTATTTTTTAAGATGACTGAGATGACGCCATCTTTTATGTTTAAGACCCTGTATAATAATGTGTTCCCGTGAATGTTTTTTCCCCTCTTGCTCTGTGTATGCGTGCATGATTTTGGTTTGGGTGAAGGTTTAGAGAGCATCGTTTATCATTTAGCAGATTGTACTCATTTTGCTTCTGGCCATTCACTGAAATCCCTGTTTAAGGTCACGCATTCCATGTTTCCAGTACGCTCCCTCTTTCCCTCTGGCATCTGAATTTTTCTCTTGGGCAGCCTTGCTGATCAGATTGGCACTGATCTGGTCCATAGTTCAAGGCACACCTTTCTCCTTAGTGTTGTTTCTGCTCACCTTGTAGACGCGTCTATTTTGGTTGAAAATTGAACCACAGGGTGAATTCCATTTGAGGCCCGAGGATGGCGGAGGGTGTTCTTAGTCCCGGTGGTCTCCCAGTCCCCATCTGACCTGTGTGCCTGGCTTGTTGAAATGATTCTGCATTTTTCTCTCTGTGACCTTGTACCGCCTCTTTCAGAATGGTCAGTGGGAGCTTGTTTTCACATGATTTGAAACCTCTGGACGAGGTTAGGTTGGTTTTCTTTTGGGGGGGTTTAAATTTTATTTTATTAATTTTAATGAACACTGTAGAGATTTTGGATTTCTATTCATTCACTGTTGCACTTTTCTCCCTGCCCAGCCTTCCCCTCCGTACCCCCCCGCCCCAGTTCACTCCTCTCTTTGAAAAGCAAAACGAAAAATTCCTTCTTTGGTACACAAACCCCCTGCACCCTTCCCACCGCCCCGAGTACACTCCACTATGCAACCTTAATTCTGGACTCTAGTGATAACCATAATACCCTGTCATATATCACTTTTAAATTATTCTCTCCCTCGGGGAGCT